AGAAAACCCTCAGTGACAAATGAAAGATAGCAGAGCTTCAACTGTGTGAGCATGAGGGGTGAAGGATGAAGGGRGAGCCCTTCATGCACTGCCAGCAGTGCCAAAAGGGAGAGAGAAGGGATGGCTGCACCATAATGGAATGAGACAGCACTCGCTGGGGCTTTTATCACATCCACGAGAGAGCCCACTGCACGCCAAACTGCCATCTGGGCCTCCCCACAGCAGCCCTCCGGGGTTTTAACTGGCCAGAAAAGGATGGGAAGAAGCACTGCTGTGGCCTTAATAATTTACTTTAACTACTGGCCAGCCCTGGACAKGTCAGCCAGTTGGATGGGATGATCCCTGTAGATCAATTCTACACATCCCTGCAAGCCCCTCCTGGACTGGCTTTGTCAAGCACAGGCTCAGCCAGCAGCTCCTGGCACCTCCACGGCACCCACACGCTGCCCCCCTCCCTGGCACAACACAGTGTGCCAAACAAGCGTGCTTGARATCGCCCAAAAAATCACATCAGCCACGTCAGCAGTGCCCAGGCASCAGCTCCTCCCAGTGCTGGCCAAACACGACACATCTCAGAGGCGACAGGACCGTCCTCCCCTGGAGCTGAGCGAGCCAAACGCCTTCTCTCCCCTCCCCRGCTCCCAGGAGATAAATCCAGCCAGGCTGCCGAGCTCTGTCAGCGCTCTGAGAGATTCTCCAGCCTGGCAGAGGTGGTGAGATCCACGCCAAGGTTTGGCACCACGCTGCCATCTCCACCTCCCCACACTGCCAGCCCAGGAGCGGCTGGAGCACGGCAGTCACGAGGCTCTCCGGCCCCCGCAGAATCAGCTTCCCTCTCTGGCAGCGCTTTAGGGACGCAGCTGAAGGTCACCCTACCTTTGCAAAGCACAGCACACGTTCCTGACGAACACCTCCCTCCTGTCCACCCCCATGTTCTGTTTGAAAAGCGATTCGCTCTCCTTATGGCTCCCCTGTTCGTTTGCACGTCTCCCACAAAACAATCCSTACCCAGAGCCGTCCTTCTCCTCCTTCCTTTCTGCTGGCACAAAYTGCGGTGGGAAAATATGTTGTTTAGCTTAAAAATTACAACGACAACAACAACAAAAAAAGTAGCCACCAACTGAACAATATGAGCAATGTTTGGGTATAAAAATACATCGCAATGGAGGTGGGAAGCGGCAGCATTTGTTCCAGCCTTTGCAGGACTCCCAGTGCAGCCAGGAGAGCTGAACCCTGGGTATGGGGGCGGCTGTTTTGGGGAGATGCCATGAATAGGATCCCCATCCCAGGAGTGATTCTTCAGGTCAGAGTTTCCAGCTTGGATCAGGTAAATCACCCACAATCCCTGCTTGATTGAATAAATTCTGAATTGGTGAACTTTGTGATGCCCCACCAGCTGCATGTGGATGGCATCTCCACTATTCCAGGACATTWCCAAGGGATAAGGCACTACAAAAAACCCTTTGACTGCCAGCAAAGCAAGACAGCRATGGGAATACCTCACAAAAAATCCCTCTGAGGTATTTCAGTCTTAAGACATGGCCTTGAGGACCCCCAGGATCAGCTTCTCCCAAACCAGGCTTAAACCTTGTGCTGCCATTGGGTGGTAGGAGAGCTGGATGGTCCTACATCCTGGGTTTTGCATCTTATTGAAACAAAACAGTGAGGTTTGAGGTCTGCAAAGGTGCCAGCTTCCCCAAGCCTCCCAGACTTTGGTGTCTGGCATAAAGGTTCTTTTCCTGGAACCACAACCAGGTGGTTGTTTTTACCACCACCTGCACTCCCACAGCTGCAGGAAGAAGACTGGCAAGGAAACAGCAGCTCCTATCAGAGCTAGATGTGGACTAAAACATATTTTTATGAAATACAGCTTCTTAAGCATCTGGTTTTCCCATCCCTCTCTTTGATTTCTGGCCGTCAGAAGGCAAGTTATCGATCSCTCAATATTAACA